ATTTTTTTCGAAAATTCCCTTTTCCCTTTGCGTGAACTAGGCATCCTCATTCTTAACCATTTTACCGGCACCCTCGTGCAGCAAAACACAAAAACCGTTTTAACTTTCTCCTAAGGCTTCCAGACTGCATCCACTGTGACCTTTATGTAGTAAGCTTAAATAGCCCCTTTGTTCCCTCATAAAGAGGCCTCCTGACGCCCATGAAGAATTGCAGGAGACCTGGGCCAGATTGCATATTTTGTAAGTCTGTAGCCTAGCAGGCTACACGCACGCGAACGTCATAAAGCTCGTTCACTTGCATACTTCAGTGCCCAAATACTGCATTCCTGGAAGCTCGAGGTTTGAGGAAGACGTACAGTCGGCGATCGAGCTCATGAACTGTTACCCGAAATTCCAAAATGTGTCTTCTATTAGAGAGAATTACTTAAGTTTGACTGCAATATTGACCAGCATAATCACGGCAGGATGCCGGCATTTGGATGCACCTCTATTCGGTAGCCTGCAAACCTCCAGTCGTATGATTTTTGCTATTGACTTTCGAATCCCAGTAAACCTAATATATTTGAAGCATTTTGTTCCCGGTACGAAGCTGAAGTAGGCAAGAAGGGCAGGATTTATTGGTACCAAAAAATTTCGCGATGGCTCTTCAGCTGCGTCCTGTCGCTTCATAAGAGAGATAACGACTGAGAAGAATACAACAGACTTGAATTCGTGCAGAAAATCAATGCAGAAACAGCAAGGTCAGGGTTTTGGGCAAAGCTGGCTAATCGATAAAGTTAGTAACACAAACACGGTAGTTGTCGAAAGCATGAATAAAGCATGTTTTATCTTACTTATTTGGTGGAAAATCACGCCTTCTTCGATTTTTTTACACAAAGAAAAGATATCTTTCGGATCTAAAAGGTTGGTAATTATGACACCTTTTAAGACCGTTAGATGTGCATACAGATAGTACCACATTTCAACGTCTACTAGTGCTGTTTATGAAGTATGTCACACAGTCCACATCTACGTCCTATATGCTATCATCTTAGTGGGATAGAGATACATTTGTGTGATTTTACCTGCAGGGGAAGTATAGCGCTTCAAGAATGTAAACCCGGAGCACAAATGAAACAACATATCTGGATTAGAATTATTTGGGGACCTAAAATATTTTTTTTTATAATCTAAAGACGTCTTTCCACCAAGTATAGCATTTGAAGACGCTAGTTGCTAGGGGACAAGTAAAGAAAAAGCATGTCTTGACCATTTTTTCCACAGAATATATTTTAATTTATAAGGATGTCGGACATCAGTAGAAAAAAAAATCGTACTGCATGATTAGCCACTTATCAGCGAGTGCGATTTTTGCACAGCTGGCTAATTACCCGCACCGGACAAAAGATTCCACAGCTGGCTGACTTTTGCGCTAATACGCGTCAACTGCATTTCGTCCTTCTCTCAGGCCTGCTGTGCTCATTTAAATTTTTCCTTGAAGATTTTGCATGCAGAATCAAAATTGATATGTCGATTGATGCATGCATGGTCGCCAAAATTCCACTACCCCCGGGTTATGCTTTTTGTAGTGTAATTTACGCATGTGACCAGAGAGTTGTAATAAAAAAGTCGACATGGTGAAACGCAGTAGTTAGCATGCGACGTTTCCGGTTAATTATTTTGCTCAAAGCCATATGCGCAATACTTTCGTTTTGAAATCAAATCGTCAGTGTTGGCCAGTTTGTCATGAGATTTGACGCATACTTGAGTGATGGTGGTTTAAACAGGGCTGAGGTCACCAAGATGGCTGACGTTCCATTAGGTCAAAAATAGAGACCCATTCGCGTCCGTTTTCGAAGTATTCACAGTCGTTATTAGCTATCAGTTGTTGCAACTGTTTGCGGTCAGTCTATACCAGCTGGCATTAGTTATAATAATTTAGTCTGGTGGTTAAAACCAGTTTTCTGCAGGCGCACGTTAGAGAGGGCGAGGAAGGATTCCAAGCAGACTAAGGCCGAATAGTTAACCACTTCGAGAGAAAGAAGAAGCCCCTACCCTCAGCTGGGATCACCACTTAGCCATCAGTGACACTTGACACGATTAAAAGTTTAACGTTGTTTATGAGTTCTGAAAGGAAAAATGACGAAGTCAAAATACCAAGTCCCATGTTGGCGCTGTTCGCCGATCTATCATGCTTGCCCTGGGGTATAATGATCTCTAACCCTCAAGGTAGCTGCGTGGTAAATAAAATGAAGCCAAACTATAAGAAGGAACATTCTTATTTTGTTCTCCAAGCAAGGTGGATGGAAAAAAAAACCACAAACCAAGTGGAAACTTAAGTGCCCCTGACAGTGGCCGACAAAGCGTGGTTTGTGTCTCTGCAATGGATCATTTGGTTCAATGACCGAGAAATTCGGGTTCGACCTTCGGGTCCTCCCGGCTTGCACTTGGGGTGTGGATGGCTGACAATGTCAAGTAGGTCGAAAATAGACCTTCCAGTCTATAGTGTTTTCGAGCCCAGTCAGTCTTTTCGCGAAGAGACTTTTAGGTTGATGTACTCTGACATGCCTTCTCTCAAAGCACCAGCCAAATTAAGACTACTTACCTGCTAGGCAAGTACTGATATCGTAGTGATCTGAAAGCACAGCAGTGCAGTTACACAGAATAGAGTGCCAGTGACAAGGTATAAAAACCGCTAATTTTGATTAGATAATGATATTAGCGGCTATAAAAACACCCTTTCTCGAACCACATCTGAATGCTCGACATCATTGTAGTCTTGCCGTTCGTAAATAAAACCACACCAGAACAGGGGGGCGAACAGACTCATCGCGAAGTACTACCCCATCCTCGAGATGTGTCCACCACAAGCCATTCTACGCACACCGCTAATGTTGACAACGACGAAGGACTAACCCACCTCACCCCCAGCCTTCTCCCCTGCCTCCTGAAGCAGATCACAGTTTCTGGCTCTCAACGGCATATCTGGACAGCTTTCAGTTCTCTTTCCCAGCACCCATAGTTATTTCCAGCCTGTGACGTTCATTTTAACTGCTTGGGACCATCAGAAACCATTTTTACACCAATACTCGGATTCGTTCAGCAGGCGATTCATCACGAGGACTTTCACATACTTGATGTGGTATACTGATGGCCGTTGTTAGGGAACAGTCGCCAGTACCGATCTGTCCGCACCACAGAACGGGATACGGACGTCCTCTCTTGCCTTGGGGCGGTATTCTAGGATCCAAGCCGTGATCCTTCCTCTCCTCCATGTCGTTGTCCCTACGGCTCTCTGAGTATTTATCACTCGCCTGTCCCCCCTATTCGAGCGATTGGATTGCCGTAAACCGAAACTCTGGGGTCGAGGGGTATGTCCGCATTCTGTCGTGCAACCACGATGCGTCAGTCAACGCTGTCCCAATTCTATTTTGGACTACTGTCCGCGGCTCATCTGTTAAAACATAATGTCCAATAACCAGAACCAGAGCTAGCCTTCTCGGGCACACCCTCTCCCCTCTGTATTCACCGACAATGACCCTTAAAAACATCAAGCCAAATTCACGAGCTTGGTAAATGGCTTCATAATCTCCTAGTTGTTGTTCAGATTACGGGTTTTGCTACCAGCTGAACTCCGAACAGGCAGAAGGTTTGCGGCATTTCCCCGTAACGTGGGGGGAGGGCACCGTACTCCTCTGTATATGTCTCCGAATTTGTTTCGAATCGTATGACGAATGTTCCCATTCATTTAAACAGTAGCACAGTAGTAGAACCGACGTACCGCTCGGGGGTACCAAAAACCACATTTTCTGCTGTGAAAAAGTAACTGTACTAGCGCAGATTGTCTTATTTGAGTAAAGCTGACAGCATATTCGTACTCTGCAAAGACAGTAGCAGCTCTGCGGTGCAGTATTCATTGATTCTAACCAGTCGTATTGAGTTGTTAAAAGTGAGGGTTCACGGCTCCTGGCGTTGCTATTCCCTAAATCTCATTCTGCTGCCCGTCATTCCACCTCTCTTTTACTCTTACTTTATGAATGGAGGCTGTGAGCAGACTTTGCCACACGTTCCCCCCCTTCCCCCTGTCTCCTAAAAGAAATGCGCTTTTTCTTAGCATTCTACGGAAGGCAGACCACCCCTGTAGGTAGGTTGGATAAGCCAGAAGGCCTTTTGATATGCTAATTCCGAGTGAAGTAAGATTGACTTTGTGTGTTAGATAATACGCACGTGCGGAGGGTATGGTGATTAAGCGGATTATCGCGTCGGACATTCGATTGCGGTGATATTAATCCTACAGTTGCGTGGTGCGTGGGACTGAAAATGTCTCCGTGTCCTTTACCACAAAACTCCCTCAGGCAGAAAAGTCTCAAGTTTGAAGTCGCCCAGACGGATTAAAGGGCCAGTGTGCACTTTAACTGTAAGAAAATGCATGCATATATTTTGAGCGATTTTTTAAAAGTGCAAGGGCGGATTTTCGCACACGGAGCAAAAGCCCTTCGTGTTAGATAGTTAGAGCAAAAGCTAACATTTTCATGGTATAACCTGCGGCCAGGTCAAAGGCTGCATGAATAAAATCGTTCAAGATATTTACTCCCGCAGCACGTGTTGCAATTTACGCGTCCGGAAGCTCAGTGGAGGTTGTTGGACAGATGGAGAACTCGAAAGGCGGCAGCACTGCTGGCTTATTTACAATGCGGACCAAAGTATTTTCGGACTGGGCCTGTGGCCTGTGTACTTTTTCGACTACTGGGAAGTTGGCTCTCTCTCTCTCTCGCCTGAATTATTAATTCCTGCGTCGGTTGTTTATGTACTTGAGCGCACTGCGTGCTTATGCACGCCACGGATTAGCCTGGTGTAGGATGTTGTTCCGCCTGGAAGTTACTACACGCCGCGACTGCATGTTTTCATCCGTCTACTCGAGGCCTTGGCGGGGTGAATGAGAAGAGCACAACTTCCCCTCGCAGGCAGATAAAAATAGGTTTTCTTCTGGAAGAAAGATAAGGCACACTTGGAAGCCCCCACTACCCTTGTATGCGACTGGCTCTGGTGATGGGTTCGAGTGAGAATCCAAAACGTCGGGCCAGTAAACTCTTTGATCCAGTGATCGCATCATCATCATCATCATCATCATCATCATCATCATCATCATCATCATCATCATCATCATCATCATCATCATCATCATCATCATCATCATCGTCGTCGTCATCATCATCATCATCATCATCATCATCATCAGCAGCAGCAGCAGCAGCGGCAGCATCATCATCTTCTTCTTCTTCTGAACTACGCTGACTCTTTGGCCCTGTATGCCACTGCGTTCACGAACATCTTGCTGTTGGAGCAAGACGAACGTGAGAACACATGTCTAGTTCGCCAAAAACAAATTCGCAACCAGTCATCGCTGAACCCTTCGGACGCCATGCAAATGGTCGTTTGCAGTGACCGACCCATTAGGTCCCTCGAGCGATGTACCTTTCGCCGGTATCGATGAGAACGCGACTGTATTTTTTTCTCTAAAAGAGGTAGATGCTTGCATGCATGATTCGATCTCTCCGCCCCCAGCACACAAACAGTTGATTATCGCGTCGCCCCTTGAATCACTAGCATCTATTTTTATTTCTTCTTTAGGATCTTGACGACAGCCATTCGCAGGGTCTATCCAGGTAAGCAGATGCAGTCTTCGATGGGACCGATGGACCACCCTGTCACCACCGACCCCTTCTCCCCCCTCTCTATCTCTCACCCACTCCACATCTTCGTTTGGTTTGTAGAACAGCAAAGAGTTTTTATCAGTCCATCGACAGCGCGCCGGAGCACAGATGGAACAAAAAGACTCTGCCTCTGGTCAGCGACCTGGTATGTTTCTGGTTCATTAATCCCCCCCCTTCCCTTCGATCATCCAAGAACAGAGCATTACAGTTACGTGTTTTATCTAAGCCGCTGTCTACAAAGGAAGTTCTCTCTGTCTGCTACTTTATACAAATTATCACGTCTGGTACGAGAAAAAAGTTGAGAAACAAAGCGAGTAAGAGTTTGTTAGTACACAAAAAATGAAATATATATAGCATCAAATGCAGTAGGAACCATCTTGGTTGTGTGCGTGTCCGTGTTTGTGTTTGCGGTCTCAACTGATGCTCTCAGTTATGATTGACTGAATGAATTCACTTACTCACATCTCTGATGACGAATACGCGGGATCCAGAAATTGCATTATCTTCAGCAATAAGTATACACGTACAGAATAACATTATTATAAAAGGCAAGGGACACTGGAATGACCGTTTCTGGCTTGTTAGCCGTCACTGGCCAGCCACAAACAGCCCCCGGGCTCAGACTCGCGACCTGTTGGTTAGATGTCCATTGAGCCAGGCGCTCATTGCTATTAGAAAAGACAAGGGAGACTGGAATGACCGTTTCCGGCTTATTAGCCGTCGTCAGCCAGTCATACCCAACCCCAAGTGTGGATCACTTGAGATTCGAACCCGGGATCTTTGGTCATGGAGTTTGACGCTGTACCATTGGGTCATAAGCACTTCATCGGACCGAAGTTCATCAGTGCCTCTTCAGCTGTCATTTTGTGTTGCCGCGGACATATATTTTTATATAATACATAAGCGGCTCATCACGACTGCAACAGGGCAGACGCAGACAGTTGTTTCACGGTCGCTACCGATCACCCGTAAAGTCTTTACCTATATTTTTTTCTAGTGCGGAGATTTGACACTAGGCAAATGACGAAATAATATTGGGGAGGGATAAGGAACATGCCCCTTCTGTGGCTTACTGGCGAAAAATCGGGGATAACGCACAGGGATCACTGAGTCTATTTTTCGAGGCTTGAATTATCCAAACCAACAGTTAAAGAATGGCTGACTGACAAAAATAATAAATTGGAGATTTTCGTCGCAGCCTCTCTTGAGGTTGCCGATATTTATTACGAAACAGTGGTTTAATTGACAATGTAGGTAAATTAAAAAGCATTCTTGATCATGCGGCCATGTTCGCGGAGCTGGACTGCAATCTGGGATCTCAGTTATTGCCTGCGCTTGAGGCATGGTTAAACAGATTTGTGTAAAATATTGAAGCCTCGTCAGTGAAGTTGCTTGGAATGTTTGCAGAAACTCCGAGATCAGGAATAACAGGTCCAGTTGCGACAGCCTGTCTCGTAGATCGAAAATAGTTCCTGAGGAATCTGTAAGGCACAACTTGGCGCCCAGATTTGCACCGAAACTACATGACGCATGCTGCGGCACCCATTGGGGAGCCGAGCCCCTCGCAGTTGAATCATACAGCAGCAGCAGCAGTGGCGGCGGCGGCGGCGGCGGCATGATAAAACGAATTCGCTGATCCGCCTGGGCAATCCTTTGCAATCGTAGCCTAGATCACTTGGATTTTGGAGCTTTTGCACGGACGGACTGCACTTACTGCGCTCCCCCTCGGTGCGCTTCAATCATGCGGCCTATCTTTGCAAGCTCTTGGCTTCGTTAAATCCTCTAGAAGCTGACTGTCTACGTACTGCCAAGACTAACACCTATCCATTTCTTTCGTCTTTTTTCAGGTTCTTCAGGTAAGTGGACTGCATGTTTCGCATGAACTTTTTACTCTCAAAATGGGCGGTTCTGTGCCAGATGCGAGCATGGCGTAAGCGCAAGAGGCGACTGGCCGCAAGAAGTCGATTTTTCGAACCCAAATGACTGGTAAGCTAGACCAACCTCTGAGGTGACGGAGAGTAAAACCTAAAAAATTAGCTCTCCTCGGTTTCGGCATAGCATGTATAGCTGGCGTATACTGCATGCAGATGAAATGCAAGTGGAAATTCCGAAGTGTTTTTGGCTCGAAATGATTACACAGGTAGGGTTCTAATATAAGTTATGATGTATTATAATCCTAAGATATTGCAGTCACATGAGGATGCCGGCTTCCGAACGGGCTTCTTTCTGGCCGCGTGCAAAAACTACAGCTGGTGGGCTAACTCATGATATGTCAACCGAAACTCCGAAATGAATTTTCATTTCCAAATGATTAATTAAGGAGGGTTATAAAACTAATCACCAGCAGCACAATTTTATAATAATTCAGGTACCTCAGGATGCCGGATTTTGAAAGAACGTGCTCTCGGCTGCATGCAAAAACCACACTCTACAAAAATGACTATCTAAGTCGCATGCATGTGTCGCACTGATTTTCTATGCCCTTAAGAATGCAATTATATTTCATGGAAAGCATGCATATAAATATTCATTATTTTGCTCATTCGGTAGGAAATTACGTCTAATTCCAATTTTATGCTCAAAGGAAGGGTATAATTTGGTTTTAAAAAAGTTTATAATTGTGAAACTTTTTAATTCCGTGAAATGGCCGTTCATAAAACGTCATGTCCCTGCATTTACCAATGTGGATTGTAAGGTTAACAGTATGGCTCCAATCCACTGCTAAATTTTATGAATCCCATATGGCCTCCTCTACATATCGTAGACAAAGGTATGATTTTCCGTACTCAGAATATATACGGCTTGTAGTTTGGCAACCCTGAATGCAAGTGTAACGGCACGTCGGGATTCAAACTTATTCGGGAATTGAAAAGTTTTTGAAAACCGAATTATACCCTTCCTTCGAGTATAAGATTGGAAGCAGACGTAATTTTCTACCGAATGAGGGAAAGAATGAATATTTTTGTCCGTGTTTTCCATGAAGTATAATTGGATTCTTAAACGCATCAAAAATCGATTAGAAAATGCATGCTATTTAAGTAGTCATCTTTGCAGAGTACAGTTTCCGCATGCAACCGAAAAGAAGTTCACTCGAAAGCCAGCATCCAAAGGTAACCGAATGTTTATATATTTATGCAGCATGATGATTAAATTTAAAACTCCACGTTCACTTTCGCTGTCCTCATAAATTCAAATACAATTTGCAGAAAATATGCACATTATATATTGTCTTATCCTTATTTGGTACGAAATTAGGTCTTATTAAAATTTCACTGCCGAAGTGGGGGTATTTATAAGGTTTAAAAGTTTTTTGATGAGGGGTTTTTTTAAAACTGTGAAGTGTTTATTCATACAGCATGCTGCTTGTAAAGCACTTAATATGGGCCACACCTCCTGCAGCATTTTGTGATTCCTATATGGGGTCGTCTTAAAAGCGTATAGAAACGTCTGATTTTCCGTACATAAAACATATACAGCATTTATTTTGCGAACCCTGGATGCAAATGCGACACCAAATTGGGTAAAAAATATTCAAGGATTGAAAAAGTTTTGAAAACCGAAAAAATACCCCTTCTCCAAGTATGAAATGTGAAGGAGGCGTAATTTTGCATCAAATAAGTACAGGAATGAATATTTTGGGTATGTTTTAAGTAACATATGCTTGAATGGGGAAAATGCCTGCTGTTTAGGCAGTCATTGTTTACAGCGTACATTTTCGCCGGACGACAGGAAGGCAGTTCGTTCAAAAACCGACTAAAATATGTTTGCGATCATGCTGCATGAAAGTTAATATTAAAACCCTAATTAAGGAAACTTTTCTAATCGAAAACACAGTTTAGAATTCTGACTAAAATTTCACGAAATAGCACATCTACTGTAGAAATATCCACACAACCTTCCAAGAGAACCGGTAAGGTTTATAACTTACGGGGCTTCCCGTTCCAAAAAGGGCCAGTTGGTTTTGGAAAACCGTATTGATCGAGAGGGAATGCGCATCCCGAGTGGTCTTAGGAGACGGGAGATCGCCTCAGAGACACCCTTAATGTAAGAAAGCCGTCGCCAAACTTTTGGCCGTACGAGGCCTGGCACACCGGCACGAACTCCATCAAGCGCTGTGTAGCGCTTTCCGAAGCCTGTCAGCCCCCCGACCGCAGTTCAGTGAACGGCGAAGCGAACGCTGGTTACGAGAAAACAGGAGCCAAAATACGACTGGGTCCATGGGGACACGAACGCAGCTGCACTGCAACCTGGATCTGGCGAAGGTGCGATCGTCATCACAGCCGCGGCACCCACTTATCCGGCAGGTGAAAAAACGGACGGTCGCTGTAACATAAAAGGACCCGAGGAAAGTGCCAGCGTCACTGCCACTTATCTGGCAGGTGAGAACACAGGCGGTCGCGGGGTCGTAAAGAAGATTGCCAGCCTAGGACGAGAGTTAAGGTCCATGCGAACACGTGCGATGACGGCTAACGCTCGAACGCCGGCTCCGGACATGAGGTAAACCCATTGCAAGGAGACCATCATCACCTATGAATACTGTGAAGCGTGGTACAACGCTCACCTCCGACGATGAAAGCTTGTTTGAAACGTCAGGACAATACAACTATGGTTCCCGAGATCGTCTCTTCTTCTCAGACACATATCTTATGACAGTGGGCGCTCACCGATCAGGTTACGGAACATGCTCG